TAGGTGGAGTGTGTGTTCTGTAGGTGGAGTGTGTGTGTTCAGTAGGTGGAGTGTGTGTTCAGTAGGTGGAGTGTGTGTTCAGTAGGTGGAGTGTGTGTTCAGTAGGTGGAGTGTGTGTTCAGTAGGTGGAGTGTGTGTTCAGTAGGTGGAGTGTGTGTTCAGTAGGTGGAGTGTGTTCAGTAGGTGGAGTGTGTTCAGTAGGTGGAGTGTGTGTTCAGTAGGTGGAGTGTGTTCAGTAGGTGGAGTGGAGTGTGTTCAGTAGGTGGAGTGTGTTCAGGCTCTGACGATGTAAATATGGAGTCACTTTACAAGAAAACAAAAATAACTTTTCTGTCATTCTGGTTTATTACCAGAAAAAAAAAGTTTATTCATAAAAGAAAATTCTCAAATATAAAATCTTCCATCTTTATCTCTATTCATTTTTTAATTTTTTATTTTTTTACAATTTAAGAAAAACTGAAGGTCTGAGATCTGAGGTTCTGTTCTGTTCTTCAGGTTCTGTCTTTGTTCCAGAGTTCAACGCTGGACAAACACAAAGGTACCACACACCTCATCTGTAGTACTCTGCAGTACTCTAACAGTACTCTGAAGTACTCTAACAGTACTCTGAAGTACTCTGCAGTACTCTAACAGTACTCTGAAGTACTATGCAGTACTCTGCAGTACTCTAACAGTACTCTGAAGTACTCTGCAGTACTCTGTAGTACTCTGAAGTACTCTGCAGTACTCTGCAGTACTCTGAAGTACTCTAACAGTACTCTGAAGTACTCTGCAGTACTCTGCAGTACTCTGCAGTACTCTGAAGTACTCTAACAGTACTCTGAAGTACTCTGCAGTACTCTGAAGTACTCTAACAGTAAAAAAAGAGCACAGAACATATGTGACCCCGACACACGTGACCCCGACACACGTGACCCCGGCACACACATGACCCTGACACACGTGACCCTGACACACACATGACCCTGACACACGTGACCCTGACACACACATGACCCTGACACACGTGACCCTGACACACACATGACCCTGACACACGACCAGCACATTTCTGTTCACATTAGACCCGTGATTCTTTGGGCCAAATCAGTTCCATCTCGGTGCCTGCTGCAGTTTGAACTCTGAACCGACAGACGAGACGAGACACGAGACGAGACGAGACGAGACGAGACGAGACGAGACGAGACGAGAGACGAGACGAGACGAGACGAGACGAGACGAGAGAGACGAGACGAGAGACGAGACGAGACGAGAGACGAGACGAGACGAGACGAGACGAGACGAGACGAGAGAGACGAGACGAGACGAGACGAGACGAGACGAGAGACGAGATGAGACGAGACGAGACGAGAGAGAGACGAGACGAGACGAGACGAGACGAGACGAGACGAGACGAGACGAGACGAGACGAGACGAGACGAGACGAGACGAGAGAGACGAGACGAGACGAGAGACGAGACGAGACGAGAGACGAGAGACGAGAGACGAGATGACGAGACGAGACGAGACGAGAGACGAGACGAGACGAGACGAGACGAGACGAGACGACGAGACGAGAGACGAGACGAGACGAGACGAGAGACGAGACGAGACGAGATGAGAGACGAGACGAGAGAGAGACGAGACGAGACGAGACGAGACGACGAGACGAGAGACGAGAGACGAGACGAGACGAGAGACGAGACGAGACGAGAGACGAGACGAGAGACGAGACGAGACGAGAGACGAGACGAGACGAGAGACGAGACGAGAGACGAGAGACGAGAGACGAGATGAGACGAGACGAGACGAGACGAGACGAGAGAGACGAGAGAGACGAGACGAGAGACGAGACGAGACGAGACGAGAGAGACGAGACGAGACGAGACGAGAGAGACGAGACGAGACGAGAGAGAGACGAGAGAGAGACGAGAGACGAGACGAGACGAGACGAGAGAGACGAGAGAGAGACGAGAGACGAGAGACGAGACGAGAGACGAGACGAGAGACGAGACGAGAGAGACGAGACGAGACGAGAGACGAGACGAGACGAGACGAGAGACGAGACGAGAGACGAGAGAGACGAGACGAGAGACGAGACGAGACGAGACGAGACGAGAGAGACGAGAGACGAGACGAGAGACGAGACGAGAGAGACGAGAGACGAGATGAGAGACGAGAGACGAGAGACGAGACGAGACGAGAGAGACGAGACGAGACGAGAGACGAGACGACGAGAGACGAGAGAGACGAGACGAGACGAGACGAGACGAGACGAGACGAGACGAGAGACGAGACGAGACGAGACGAGACGAGACGAGACGAGAGACGAGACGAGACGAGACGAGACGAGACGAGACGAGAGACGAGAGAGAGAGAGACGAGAGAGACGAGACGAGAGACGAGACGAGAGACGAGAGACGAGAGACGAGAGACGAGACGAGAGACGAGAGACGAGAGAGAGACGAGAGACGAGAGACGAGACGAGAGACGAGAGACGAGAGAGAGACGAGACGAGAGACGAGACGAGACGAGACGAGAGACGAGACGAGAGACGAGAGACGAGACGAGACGAGAGAGAGACGAGAGACGAGACGAGAGACGAGAGACGAGACGAGACGAGAGACGAGAGACGAGACGAGAGACGAGACGAGAGACGAGACGAGACGAGAGACGAGACGAGAGACGAGACGAGACGAGAGACGAGAGAGAGACGAGACGAGACGAGACGAGAGACGAGAGATGAGAGACGAGAGACGAGACGAGACGAGAGACGAGACGAGAGACGAGACGAGAGACGAGACGAGACGAGAGACGAGACGAGACGAGACGAGAGACGAGAGACGAGAGACGAGACGACGAGACGAGAGACGAGACGAGACGAGAGACGAGACGAGAGAGAGAGACGAGAGAGAGACGAGATGAGAGACGAGACGAGAACGAGAGACGAGAGACGAGAGACGAGACGAGAGAGAGACGAGAGACGAGAGACGAGAGACGAGAGACGAGACGAGAGAGAGAGACGAGACGAGAGACGAGAGACGACGAGACGAGACGAGACGAGACGAGACGAGACGAGACGAGAGAGAGACGAGACGAGACGAGACGAGACGAGAGACGAGACGAGACGAGACGAGAGACGAGAGACGAGAGACGAGACGAGAGACGAGACGACGAGACGAGACGAGAGACGAGACGAGAGACGAGACGAGAGAGAGACGAGAGACGAGACGAGAGACGAGACGAGAGACGAGACGAGAGACGGAGAGAGATGAGACGACGAGACGAGAGACGAGACGAGAGAGACGAGAGACGAGACGAGACGAGACGAGACGAGACGAGAGACGAGACGAGACGAGACGAGACGAGAGACGAGAGACGAGAGACGAGAGACGAGAGACGAGACGAGAGACGAGAGAGACGAGAGACGAGACGAGACGAGACGAGAGACGACGAGAGACGAGACGAGACGAGAGAGACGAGACGAGAGAGACGAGAGACGAGGAGACGAGAGAACGAGAGACGAGACGAGAGAGACGAGAGAGACGAGAGACGAGACGACGAGACGAGAGACGAGACGAGACGAGAGAGAGACGAGACGAGAGACGAGACGAGAGAGAGACGAGAGACGAGAGACGAGAGAGACAGACGAGAGACGAGACGAGACGAGAGAGACGAGACGAGACGACGAGAGAGAGACGAGAGACGAGACGAGAGACGACGAGAGAGAGAGACGAGAGAGACGAAGACGAGACGAGAGACGAGAGAGACGAGGAGACGAGAGACGAGAGACGAGAGACGAGACGAGAGACGAGACGAGAGACGAGACGAGACGAGCAGACGAGAGACGAGAGACGAGACGAGAGACGAGAGACGAGACGAGAGAGACGAGACGAGAGACGAGAGACGAGACGAGACGAGACGAGAGACGAGAGAGAGACGAGACGAGAGAGAGACGAGAGACGAGAGACGAGACGAGAAGAGACGAGACGAGAGACGAGACGAGACGACGAGACGAGACGAGACGAGAGACGAGACGAGAGACGAGACGAGAGACCGAGAGAGAGACGAGAGAGACGAGAGACGAGACGAGAGACGAGACGAGACGAGACGAGACGAGACGAGAGACGAGACGAGACGAGAGAGACGAGAGATGAGACGAGACGAGAGACGAGAGACGAGACGAGAGACGAGACGAGAGACGAGACGAGAGACGAGACGAGAGACGAGACGAGACGAGACGAGAGACGAGACGAGAGACGAGATGAGACGAGACGAGAGACGAGACGAGAGACGAGAGACGAGAGAGAGACGAAGAGACGAGAGACGAGACGAGAGACGAGAGAGAGACGAGAGACGAGACGAGACGAGAGACGAGAGAGACGAGATACGAGAGAGAGAGACGAGACGAGAGACGAGACGAGAGAGACGAGACGAGACGAGAGAGACGAGAGACGAGATGAGACGAGAGACGAGACGAG